TTTTGACCTGCTCCTGTCTGACTCTTCTGGTTTTTCTAACCCGCCTGCTGCGACCACAGAACGGTACCAGTCTGAAAAACAGTACCAGGAGCAACAGGCCTGCAGTCAGTCTAGTGGACGCTTGTGACGTCAAGCCCCAGCCTGTTGACTCCTGGGTCTAAGTGCATGCATGGTAGGTCTGCTGTCAGCTGTGTAAGTACCACCTAGATTAGCACCCCACACTGGACTCTTGCCATGTTACCCCTCCGCCTTTCACTTTTTTTTTCTTTCTTGTACCACCCCATCAGTTTAAAAATAAGGTTCTCCCCTGACAGTGGGACATTTGAATAAGGACCCGCAAGTCACTGTTGGCCCCTGAGCCAGACTTTGAAAACATCAAATTTAGAGAAAGAAAAAAGAGCTTCGGCAACGTAACCTTCGATAGCTCCGTTGGTAGAGTGGTGGCCTGTAGGTGGCATTGCAGTAATCCTTAGGTCGCGGTGAGTTTTTTTTAACTTTATTTTAGGGGCAGTGGTGGCTTGGTGGTTAAGGAAGCGGACTTGGGTCTTGAAGGTTTGAGGTTCAAGTCCACCATCTGCCAAGTTACCACTGTCCATCCCCACACACTTCTGCCCCCTGCTGCCCCCTGCTTCTGCCCCCTGCTGACCCCACCATACATCCCTGGTAGTCTGGTGGTTAGGATTCGGCGCTCTCACCGCTACGGCAGGGGTTCGATTCCCGGTCAGGGAATAACATTTCCTTAAGTTCCCTTTGGGAATCAATAAAGTATTCATCGTATAATGATGCTAATATCGGTTAGCCGATATTATTACATCATCGCACAAATCCCTAATATAATTACAGATTGTTTTAATGAACGTTTATTGACAGTATTCTCTCTTGTTGTCATGACGGTGTGTCGTCTTTCTCTCCGCCACCCCCTGCAGGCCTGACCAGAGCGGAGCGCCGTCATTCGTCCGGAGAAGGAAGTCTGACATCACCACTGCCATTTCACACACGACACATCTGTGAAGTCTGACTGTACGAAACGAAAAGACACTTTTAACATTAAAAACAAACAAACAAAAAAATAACGACAACGACAACAACGACGGTCCAATCAGCAGCTGCTGCCAACGTTTTAAAAGTATTTTCTACACGGATGAGGCCGCTGTTATAGCAAAGGAGGCGCGAAGTGAAAGAGGAAAGGAAAGGAAAGAAAAGGAAAGGAAAGGAAAGGAAAGAAAAGGAAAGGAAAGGAAAGAGAAGGGAAGGGAAGGAAAGGAAAGGGAAGGGAAGGGAAGGGAAGGGAAGGGAAGGGAAGGGAAGGGAAGGGAAGGGAAGGGAAGGGAAGGGAAGGGAAGGGAAGGGAAGGGAAGGGAAGGGAAGGGAAGGGAAGGGAAGGGAAGGGAAGGGAAGGGAAGGGAAGGGAAGAGAATGTAGGACCAAACCCGCAGGAAGGATGGGGAACGTGTGAAGAAAGAAGACGGCTCCTCGGAGGAGGTGGAGTCTGAGGAGTCGCTGGACGTCTGGATGTCACCGGAAGTTGGTGTTTGGATCAGGACGGACAAGAGAAGCAGGAGAAAGGAGAAGCGGGGCAGGGGGCGGGGTTTAGAGTCGTTAAGAGTCTGTTTGGACTGTTGTTATAGGACAGAGACGTCGTCATCGCTTTCTGACGTCCACCTGAAAAGATTGTTTTTCCGAAATCACTCACTCACTCACTCCCTCTATAGGCGGTTATGTATAGCGCACTCGTCGGATTAAATGAAAGAACAGTTTCTAATCAATTAACGACGCCCTTACAATTGAAATGGACCTCCGCTGTGTCGTCACGACTGCAATCCATGATGGGATATATCGCTTGGGTTAGATTTCGTGGTGCATTGTGGGATAGTGTCTTTTAAACATTCAGACGTCATTTCAAAAATGGCGTGTAGTACCCTTTGTAGGGAGTAGGGGGCGGTTTTGGACACACCCACAGTCTATAGCAGTGATGAATTGATGACATCACAGCAGTTCGATGTCATCACTCACCGCCGCATCCTTCGATAGCTCAGTTGGTAGAGCGGAGGACTGTAGGTGGAGTCGTGGAAATCCTTAGGTCGCTGGTTCAAATCTGGCTGGAAGGAATTATGTTTTTTTTTATGTGCAGTGTTGGCTGAGTGGTTAAGGAAGTGGACTTAGCTCCATAAGGTTTGAGGTTTGAGTCCACCACCTGCCAAATTACCACTGAGGTGCTCTGAGCGTGGCACCATCCCAACACACACACTGCTGTCCCCTGCTGACTGAGTTCCAGATTTCAGTTCAATCAAAATCACTTCAACTGAACCAGATGTTTTAAAAATAAGAGAAAAAAACTTTTAAGTTTTTTTTTCATCAACACCCGCTCCATCACGGAAACTGAGCTCAATGTGTTTACTATACGATAATATATGACAAAAAAACAGAAAGCACTTTATTTGTCTTTGAGGAATATGAAGTAACAGTACACGTTGGTACCACACTGACCCCCCCGACTGTTACTCTGTAGCAAGTGTTCCTGCGTGTACCCCAGTAATGAACTTAAAAAAAACCCCAAAAATTAACTTTAAAACCTCTGGATAAGAAACAGACGATTTTTTAAATTTTTTTTTACATTTTTGTAATGTTTACATTTACCCAGGTTTACTGCCCTGATCGGAGTAAATTAAACTCCCAACAACTGCTGATCGTGTTTTCCTCCATCATGGCCGCTCTTTNNGCCGAATGACGGCGTCAGTCCAGCATACCTTCAGATCTGAGAAGTTTGTTTGTTTTACTGCGTTTATATTCATGTATATTAAGATCAAAATACAAAAAAAAAACGTCTTAGTGGTTTAATAATATTTGGCGTCATTTGTAAACACATCTCATTCGATAATGTCTCCCACGTCTGCGGGCGGAAAAGGAACGACACGTATCAAATACTCTCCGGTTATGCCGACGATCACTTGTTTATATTTGTATTTGTCAAAAAAAAAAAAATTCAAAAGTTGTGGTTTTTTTCTTCTTCGTTGGTTTGCCTACAGAAGAAAAAACTTACTGTCTTCCATTACTGATGGGCCGGCAGGAGGTCAAAGGTTAAGCAGAGTTAGGACCGGCCTCTGTTCTCTGTTGTTACTATGGTTCTACCTGAGCAGAACTTGTACAAATGTTCCTGTATCGTATTCTTTCCAGGTACCATTTGTTGTACTGTTTTCATTTTGGAATGCAACGCAATCATCCGTCTGTGGGGAACGGTGTACAAATATATAAATATATATATATATATATAAACACACATATATATATATATATATATTTATATGTATGATCTATAGATATATAAATGAGGATTGTGTTTACGGCGCCCCCTGGTGGAGGGAAAAAGCTGAAATTCGTTTTTGTTTTTTTCTTCGGTGGTCCACAACTGGTATCCAGAATGTGGGCCACATTTCAGCTAAACCTCAATCACAGGTGAGGCCTTAGAAAAACCTGGTCTGGTCCAGACCCGAAACTGAAGAGGGTCCAGACCAAGACCTGAGGAAGGTCCAGACCCAGACATTTGAATGACAGAAAATGTGGCCCTGAACCAAATGACCCATGGCCAGGTTCTGGTCCGGGCCCCAGGGGTTGGGGACCTCTGACTGCTGTATCATCAAAACGAATGGCATGTGCCTGCCTTTGTGACATGTGTGACTTAATAAATCGTACATATTTTAACAGGGTTTCCTACAATTGAACACTGTGGTTGAGTTTCAGAGGGTAGAGAGAGAGAGAAAAAAACACCTCAACGTCTCCCCCTGTGGTGTAAACTTTCATTGATCGACTGAAGCCTCGCCAGCAGCACAAACCCAGAGGAGTGCGACTCGGCAGCTGGACAAAAAAAAAAAAAAGAGAAAAAAGCTGCTTTAGTTTGTGTGTGTGTGTGTGTGCGCAGTGGAGCGTACACGGACGGTTCGATGCCGAGCAACTGTGCTGTAAAATAAACGAGAGAGAGAACAAAACGAAGCTACCCGTGTAGACGACGGAGGAGCACCGAGTAGCATCCGTGTTTGTACCTTACAGTGTCATGTTTGTACCTTACAGTATCGCGGTTGTACTTACAGTATCGCGGTTGTACTTACAGTATCATGTGCCTTACACCTTTAAATGCGACACAAAAATACATACGTGTTTAATAAAACATTATTTCCTTCCTCTTGACTCTCATCTCTGCATCCTCCCACCTCACCCCTCCTCATTCAGTCCTTCATCATCCCCCATTTCCCGCGTCCTTGACTCGATTTGTTAGGAGTGTTGGTGAGTTTAGCTGAACATTGTATCAGGAAGAAGAAGAAGAAGAAAGAACAAAAAAAAGTCGTAGAAAAGTGAAGTTATTTACTGCTTTCGTAGCTGCCGTGAACTCTGCCACAGTGAGAGAATGTAATATTTGCATTTTACTAATACACAGAGACAAATACAACACTTGTTTAAAAACAAATCCTGGTTTGTAGAGAATACATTTGTTGTGTTTTTAATAAATTATGCCTGGAAAGAATCTCTTGCCAGATGCTTGTTTTATTATTATTATTATTATTATTATTATTATTATTATTTTCTTTCTCTACGAGTGTAGTTAGGAGGAAATTCCAAACCTTTTTTAATTGATTGACACCAGAGCTGCTAACTGGTCTGTGAAACTGGAGCTCAATTTTAGCTCCAGCGATTTAAAAATAGATTCTGTTCTCAGCTCAGACAAGTCTAGAATAGATTTCCGTATCATATAGACCAATAGAAATGGCTGGAGTTGATAAAACTGATGAAATTTTAATCAAGATTAGCTCTGTGTCAATGCTACTTTATGGTTAGCGTAAGTCGTCGTCTTAGTCTCCGTACATAAAAACAGAACGTAAAAATGTGATTTTAAAAACGAATTAGAATTTCAATATAATATATATACGCGTGTAGTTAGTGCAACTTGACCACCAGGTGCTGCTAAATTCCCCCCACACTGAATTCGATGGCGCCTTTTTCTACAGGCATCTGTCCGGCCACCACACGTGAGCTCGGGGTCCCTTAAATGACAACAGTAGCATGGCTGCCCTGCGTAAAGCCGGGTTCCTGTGGAGAAGGACTGGTAGTTTGAAGTTCTGTAGAAGAAACTTGACAGGTAAATAATAACAAAAAAACCAATTGTTCAGTGAGCGAATGTTGAGGAAAAAAAAGAAGAAGCTGCAAATAAATATTTCCGGACTTATGTCCGTTAGCCTGTAGCTAACTGTCCGAGTCTTGACTGAACGAGTGTATGAAGAACGTTCCAGAGCGTTTGTGTTGCCGATGTTTTAAAAATTTTTTTGAACACATTAGAAAGTGTTCTCCATCCAAAATGTTTTTTTTTTTTTTTTCTTTTTCATAAGTAATTATGGCACCTGGTTCTCTGGGAAATGTAGTGCTCGGTGACTGTATAACAAAACAACATTATCTGCAGGTCATTTTATTTTTAATTTTTTTTTGTAAATTTGTAGTGAAGTGGTGAAACAAAAATGACGTAAGACCTCATTTTCTTCTTGTCTAGAAATAAAATGTCAAAATTTCAAGTGTCCAATGCAAGCTTTTTTTTTAAAGTAATAAGTTGAATGAATGAATGAAAGACGAGAAGAAAAACATCTCTGTTTTGACAGACGATTTCTTTTCCCGCCACTCTCGCCCGACTCATAACGGCTTGTAAACGCGAAGTCGTCGACTTTGCGTGTTTCGGCTAGATGCTAGTTTTCTGACTTTTTTATATATATTTTTATTTTATTTTTGTCAATATATCTTGGGTCAATATAAAGTAATGTCAACGATTTCCCATCAGGGCATCAATAAAGTACGCATGCGCTGAATAATACAATATATTTGACAGATTCAGATCAGTGATTGGTCTATCAGTGCATCTCTAATTTGTGTGTTTGTTTGTTTTTTTACAGGGACCTATGACTACGACCTAGTGGTCATTGGTGGAGGTTCAGGAGGACTGGCCTGCTCCAAAGAAGGTAGGGGGCAGTGTTCAATGGTCAGACATGTAGCGGTTTGTAAACGCTAGACTAAACTTATTGTCACCCCATGTCGGCAGCTGCGCAGCTGGGTCAAAAGGTCGCCGTTCTAGATTATGTGGAGCCGTCAGTCAAAGGTAACGCGAAGATCGTTCTGGTTATTGATTATGAGACACACATGGTACAGATGTTTTTTTATAAACACACGTCACATCAACGTCAAATGATTTTCCGCACAGGAACCAAGTGGGGTCTTGGCGGCACCTGCGTTAACGTGGGCTGTATCCCGAAAAAGCTGATGCACCAGGCTGCTCTGCTCGGTACCGCTCTCCAGGATGCCAGAAAGTACGGCTGGAAAATCTCAGGAGAAGTTTCCCACGACTGGTGAGTCGTTACGGCGTACTAACGACTGCATTTCCGGAATATAAATATATATATGAAATATATCTATATATTTTGCATTAAAGTTTATATTTAATTTTCTGACGTCTCATCTGTTTTTATTCACAACATATATATTTTTTTCTGAATATACGTGATTGAGTTGTTGAATGACGTCACACCTTGAATAAATCTATGTAAATCTCCTCTAGTGCTAAATAGCTCCAAAGCACCATCTAGTGGTGAACTTGAAGCATGTTTTTTTTTATTTCAGGTTGTAACTGCTCTACTTTGTCACATTTATATATATAAATGTATTTATATTAGTGCATGTGTCATATATATTTTTTAAATTTATATATTTATAATTTTGTCTTTTGACATTTTCAATAGTAATTTATCATGTTTATATATTGTTATAATATCGTGTGTGTTTGTTTGTGTTTTCCAGGTGTCAGATGGCCGAGTCGGTTCAGAACCACGTCAGGTCCTTGAACTGGGGTCACAGAGTTCAACTCCAGGATAAGTAAATGTCGTCGTCGTCATCGATGATGTAATTTACAGATGATCGTCATGAACTGATTTTTATCTTGCGTCCCTGAAGGAAAGTCAAGTATCTGAACTTGAAAGGACGTCTGGTGGACGAACACACGGTCAAAGGACAATCCAGGACAGGAAAAGAGGTGAGAAAAAACAAATATATATATATATATATATATATATATTTTCATGAATTCATGTACACGTGGTGTGTGTATTACTGCAAATACAAGTTGTATTTTTGGTGTGAAAAAAATGTTGTATTCTGTGATGTCCTGAGTTGTTACCATTATTCTCCTCTTCCATGGGGGGGCGCATGGTCTTGCCACTGGACATTTAACTAATGTCCGTCTCTTCTGTCTCAGACCGTCCTCACTGCCAAGAACGTTGTGATCGCCACAGGCGGACGACCCAAGTACCCAGCGCACGTAAGCAGTCGTTGTTGTGTTGTTTTGTTGCTAGGATACCAGATAGGTATGAGACAGAGGAGAACAGAGGGGGCGCTGTAACAGATTTCAGTCATTGGTCCAGTTGATTGATCATTGTGTTCACTGGTTTAACTCCAGGTTCCTGGGGCCGTGGAGCACGGCATCACCAGTGACGACCTGTTCTGGCTGAAACAGTCCCCTGGAAAAACGTGAGAATGCACCACCACCACCACCATCACAGGAGTGACTCCAGCCACTACTGTAGAACAGCAGACAATGTAGTCAATGATCTGCACTCAGTACACAGTACCAGGTGGCAACAGATTCAGTCAGAACAAAGAGCGTGTTCTCCAGCCACAGGGAGGCGACACCTGCCTCTGGCAGCTTTTCCAGGGACAGAGTGGAAAAACCACATTGGAATTCTCTTTAACTAACGAGTAAAATAAATTTGTCTCCAAAAGACCAATAGAAGTGGAAAACAAATAATGTTGAGAAGGAACATAACTATATAATTAGCATTTGTTTAAAATATATTTTTTTAATGGGGGGGTGATCAGAACTTCTGCTACAGTTCTATCATACAAGTGTTTATATACATATATAAATATATATGTATGTATGTGTGTGTCTATATGTATATATAAATGTGAATATATATATTCACATTTATAGTACATAGTAATATAGTAATTATAATAAAAATAACAATATACAGTATATTTGTGTATGTATCTATATATGTACATATGTATTTATATATATGTATATGCATATTTGTGTATATATGTAGATGATAGATAGAACTTAATTAATCTCTTTGTTAGTTCTCTTTAGGAAATTAAGGACATACTGTATGTGTGTACATATATATTTATATATGTATGTATATGTATATATGTGTATATGTATATATGTACATACAGTATGTATATATGTATGTATATATGTAGATGATAGAACTTAATAAATCCTTTGGGAGTTCCCTTTGGGAAAGTAGGACATATATGTACATATATATTTATATATCTGTGTATATGTATGTATATATGTAGGTGGATAGATAGAACTTAATTATTCTCTTTGTTAGTTCCCTTTAGGAAATTAAGGACATATTGTATGTGTATATATATAAGTATATCTATATATGTACATATATATATGTAGATGATAGAACTTAATGAATCTTTCGGGAGTTCCATTTGGGAAATTAAGGACATATATGTACATATATTTATATATTTGTGTATATGTATATATGTACATATGTATTTATGTATGTATATATGTAGATGGAGAGATAGAATTTAATTAATATCTTTGTTAGTTCCCTTTGGGAAATTAAGGACATATATGTACATATATATTCATATATCTGTGTATATGCACATATATATGTGCGTATGTATTTTGCGTAGTGTAAAACGCTGATGCTGCGCCGCTCTGTCGTCACTCGTCACCGACTCGCTCCGTGTCGTCTCGACCTTCCTGTCAGCCTGTCCTCACCTTGTGATTCAGATTAGCCGCGTGCATCCTGCCCTCTACACAACAAGCCTTTAATCCCAGCATTGAGCCGCTGTCATCACCTGGTTAATAGTTGTATCACTGACGTTTCCTCCTCAGGGTTTGTTTAGTGGCGACAGGTAGGCAGAGGAGGATCGCGTGGACGTTCTCATCCGTACACACACCTGCGACACGGAGCCTGTAATTGTTTTTAAATTCGTGACATTCTCTGCCGGTTGTGATTGTTTTGGGTTGAGAACTTGTGCGGATGTTTTAGTCTGGCTTTTTATTTTTATTTTTTTTAATCCTATTTTAATTTGAGTTTGAAGCTGTGTGTCATATAATTAAGTAGAGTTTTAATGTTCTGCTCGGCAGCCACTAGGTGGCAACAGAAAATCAGTTATTGTGCACAGGTCCACGTGAACTACCTTTAAACCAAGTTGGCTCGGCAGCTATTTCTCAAACGAACCAGGCTGAAAACATCGACTATATTTCAAATGTTTTATAAAAATATATTTCAAAATATATTTGATGTTGGGATACCTTGATTAAATGCATGTACTGTAGTTGTAATGTCATTATGATTGAATACGTATACACTCAGTTCAGTCGTAGTGATTTGACCTCGGATGGTGTTGTGAACCGATAACATGGCATAAATATATTTTTCTTAAACCTCAGTTTTTTCGGAGATTTTTGACTTTTCGTTGCGGTAACAGACTGAGATAACAACAGTGATGTTAATGATGCATAAGTAGAACTTTTAGTCCCAACTCCACCGTGTACTTGACTCAACAGTTGAGCGTGCTCTCAGACTGCCCCGCCCCACGTGTTTTTTTTCCCCCTCAGAAGTAGAACGGAGCAGAAAGGATGCAGTTTTGTCGGTGATGAAAGTGTAGAAATAATTTAAAGCTCTTTACCTAATCTGCTTTAAGCCACTCTGTGACTGTGAGCAACACACACACACACACGGGGGCAGAGTGGGGGCTTTTAGGAAGAGCTGCGGGCAACAACAAGTTGTCAGGAGACGCACGGACCCGAGGCAGGGAGGTCTGAGGTCAGAGTGAAAAGGCAGGGGATTGGACGAGGAGCTTCACTCAGCGACCTGATGTGTACGCTGAGCCCCCGACATGGCATGGCCCATCCTCGGGGATTAGCCTAAATGCTAGAAATTAGCCTTGTTCAACACTCAGATGTCAGTGCTGGATTAAAGCTGTGATTCACCTGGACCACACACACACACACACACACACACACACACACACATCTTCAGACTTCTGTCAGTTGATGAAATATATTTCTGTTGTATTTCATCTTGCCTAAAGTTTTTTTTTTCTTTTTGTTTTTCCTGTTTTTCAGACTCGTGGTCGGAGCCAGTTGTATCCTCGGTCTGAAGTCGCAAACACCGTAGACTGAATGTGTAAATATCTGCCTGCCCAGCAGGGGGCGGTCTTTTTAGAATATATTTTTATTGTAACAGTAAAAAAAAAAAAACATAGTATTTTATTTATATATTTAATATACATTAGGGTTAGTCATGCCTATATCGCAGTATTTCTTAATATATCGTGTCGTCATACATATATTTTGCCAATATACGCTCCTAGTGTATTTATATATATGTGAATCAAAAGTTTGCTCCTTAACCAGTCTTCAGATGTGGCTCTGGAGTGTGCCGGCTTCCTCACAGGCCTCGGCCTGGACACCACCGTGATGGTGTGCAGCGTCGCCCTCAGGGGGTTCGATCAGGTGCTGCAGCCGCTGCCATTTGCTTGGAATGTTACTGTAAATATACGGATATATGTTTGTGTTTCGAGTTGCAACTTTTGATTTCTTTCATTAATGCAGCAAATGTCCGGTCTGGTGACGGACTACATGGAGTCGCACGGGACCGAGTTTGTCTGGAAGTGTGTTCCGGAGAGAGTGGAGCGTTTGACCTCTGGAGTTCTGCGGGTGACCTGGACCGACAGCCAGACGGGCCGCGAACACAAGGACACGTACGACTCTGTCCTGTGGGCCGTTGGTGAGTCTGTGCGGGGTAACGGGATGGGCTGTGTTACTGCAGGAGCAGTATATGTGTGCTATGTATGTGTTAATATGGATTTGTCAATATATAACACAGAAGCATATATGTGTATGAATATGCAGTTATTTATGTAATGTGTATATATAGCTATGTCTGCATATATATGTATGTGTGTATATATGTATGTATATATGTACATATATGTGTGTATATATGTATGTATGTGTATATGTATGTATGTATCTATATATGTATGTATGTACATATATGTACGTATGTATGTATGTACATATGTGTATGTATGTGTATGTATGTATGTACATGCATGTATGTATGTTTTTATATATGTATATATATGTGTGTATATATATATGTATGTATATATACAGTACATATGTATGAATGTGTCTTTATAAATATAGTGATGAACAGTGGCTGTGGATTTAAATACCACTCTTTGGACCACATATATTGGGCGGTGTGCTGATGTAGGCCCTGTTCCATCCACATCAGCACCTGGGCCGTGGCCTAAAGGACCTTTACCGAGAAAACCCACAATTCCATCAGTTTCATTGTTCTCTCTAAATGTCGTACAGCGTCAGCGAACAGAGGGACGGACACGAAAACATAATAGTTATAAAGCAGTTTGATGGGAAAAATCAGAGGAAGTGGGAATCAACCCCCGCGGCTGCTTCTCTGTGGGGGGTTACTGTGGGGAGGGGGGCAGGACAGAGCAGGATGCACCCAGACTCAGGGTGTTTCACCCTCCTGCCCTCCCATCCTTCTGGAAACCGACCCTGCGTCGGACACGGTCATCCCTGCTCCGTAACCTCCCCCTGAATATGAACAGGTTGTGTTGTTAAGTTGGCTAAAAGTGAGATCAGAAAATGGAAACATTTAGCGAAAATGTTTGTCCATTTAAAATTAAAAAAAAAAAAAAAAAAACTCTGGAAATGTTTAAAATCTTTCAAGTACAAATTAAAGTACTACTTGTAGGACCAGATTTAAACAGGTCTGCATCTACATCTCAGTCACTGAACAATCAGTGAAGTTAATATTTATATATATTTATATATATTTATACAGCAGAGATTCATTGAGTTTTATCACCAGACGTTAATAAAACAGCAGCAGTTTCCTCTGTTGCTCCAGTCATTATCTAGACCCAGACTCACCCCCCTCACCCGCACCTCTCCCCGACTCCCCCCCGTTCCCATACAGTAGACTCCTCAGTCCTGACCTGTGACCCTGTGACCTCCCTGCTCTTTGATGTGTACAAACATCAGTTGTGAGTACAAGGCCGCTTCCCTTCACTCTGACCTTACACCAGGGGCTGCC